TTGATAAAGAGTTGGATTTCATTTCACTAAGGCAAGCACAAGTTGCCTTTGCAAAGTAAGTTTATTTTGTACTTACCACATTGGTCTTCAATATTTTTGTTTGTTGACTCAAGAAGCTGGGTATATATGGGTTTGTTGTGCTACAGTATACAATGTTGAGTTGGTCCAATTTCTTTCCAAGTGTCACAAACAAACAACTCACTAACTTGAAAGTTTGTACTAGAGATGTGAACACATAAGACTGAATGATATCTAATAACCAACTCTTTTATATAGCTCCAATCAATATAATTGTTTACATCTCGAATATTTTATGCCAACAAACTAAGATTTTTGTAATCCATTAAGATTGGAATAAAAAATGATTCACTACCTGTCTTTCCACAAAAGTATATTTGTTCCTTGCCACATGTAATATAGAATATGTTATCTTTCATAATTATTAAGATATAGTATTCAAAGTTCTTTCATAATACCTTTTGCTTCTATTAGAAAGTCGTCGCATGCAAGTGGATGGAGATTTTGAATATTTAAGTTTCAAGTCTTTGAGATATGATGAGGTTTCTTTTTTGAATTGACTTTGACCTATTTTTCCATCATTAGCTCAATATGAAAGAACTCATAAACATGTATGTTATTCGTTATAATAATTTTCATAATATTTTCTTTTAAAATATGAAAATATTTGTTTTGAGCTTCAATTTTGTCTTTATTTTTGACACTTTTTTTTTTCTCCAAGTTAGGACAATCAACCAAGTTACATGTGCAAGTCCGAATTCCTTAGAAATTGTTCCTAAATTTTCTTTTTTATGATTAGCATTTACTGCACGTCATGATTAACAATTTTTACATCATGATTCTCACAATTCTGATTAACATTAGGGTTAACTACGTCATCGTTTTATGTAGGTTAAACTATTATCGAGTGGTAATAACAAGTAAAGTAGTCGTCATGTTAGACAGGAACAAGAGTGGCGTACATATCAATTATAATTAGAACAAATAATATGCAACATTCGCACCATACTGTACCAATTATTTTACAACCAAACCTTATTAACAACAAAGAGTTTGAAATTAATTTTAACACAAACACGAACAAATCTTCCTCTCTCCAAATTCATAATTCTAGTATCAACCTTAATAGGAGTACTCATTGCTAAAAGCAAGTAAAAAACTCTCGTCGTAATAAATAAGATTCAGCTCAAGAAATATAATTCAAATAAGTTTACTCCACCTTTTCTTCTACAGCAACAAAACTGACTTTAATTAGTAATTACTAAATAATGGTCAAAGCTCATTCATCCGCCGTTGATAATCTGCGTATGATCTTATTCCAAATTGAATTTCACTGTATAAAATTTATTATTAATATTCATGATATCATAACTTATTTAATAGTTTTCATTTTTGTTTCAAATTTTTTGTCTTAAACTTGTAGCCAATGTCTTTCTCTAATGACTCGATAATCAAAGCCTTTGTCCATAATGTTCAAAGCTCAAGTACCACTAAATTTGAAACTAGAACTTTGGGATAAAGTTGATTCTCACCTTCCAACTCAATTGGAATAAGTCCTTTCGCAATGAGATCCTCCCACGGACAAGAAGATAGTGGAGCCTTAGGACCCATGATTTTATCTATAAGGACATAGAAGCGAGAGAAAAAGGGGAAATGAGAGCATGTTCCTCTGAGTGTGGTAACTCGTGAGGTTTTAAGGGTCATGAAAAAATCTTGATTTTACACAGAAAAAATAAACTTTCTCATTTTACTGTTTGTTTTTTTTACTAACATAAGTTATTGTTTAAAAATAATTAATTAGATAAAATTTTCATTTTTTAATAAAAAAAATAAACTATAGAATATGTACACTATTTAAAGTTAAAAGTTTAAAAATTACGTCAAAAGTATCATCTACGTACAAATTTAATTTTTCAAAAGCATCAAATTAATTATATATGAAAAAAATAATTTCCTTCATAAATTTAGCGAGATATGATGTATATTCTTTTCATTAATTAATAACGTAATTAATTTAAGTTAGGTTTAAGAAAAATAAATGGAGTTCAAACTTATTAAAATATCTTAAATCAAATTTACTATAATGTTTTTAACCCAAATTCAATCAGCTCTACCAAATTTGAGGGTCGGGTTAAAAGACTTTTAAATTTTTATTGAAATCTACTTAAAATTTAAATAAATAAAATATTATTTGAAAGGAAAAAGAAAAGACATAGTTTGGTCGGAAACTTTTGAATTTTAACGGATGAGTCCAAATTAAAAAATTAGTTTTATATTGTCCCTTTCAATAGACCAATGAGTAGATGCCATACAATTACCTTTTATTTTCTTTTAATTTCATTTCATATATTGATTTATAAAATAACATAAAAAATACATTGTTTAAATTCAATGGCAGATATTAATTCCTGTGAATATGTATGTATGTTCTGAAAAATCACATCAATTTTTATAGAATTTTGCATTTACATTATATATGAATGCGTAATGGAAATAAAACAAAATATAAAAAATGGCAGGGAAGAAAATGAAAGACATAAAATAAGTAAATTTTTAACTCATTTAAATAGAGAGAAAAATAAATAAATGAAAAGAAAAAAAATACTTTATTTCACCACTCTTTGATTTGATAAAAAAAAAGTGTCAAGATAATTACTACCATGTCCTTTATGCAGATTTTGTATAATTAAACATTTTATGTGTCACTTAAGATTCAAATTGAATAGATCCTAATATTATAATAGAATTAAATTAGACCTATGTTACTTTAAAAAATTAATTTTAAGAAAAAGGATAATTGAAGTCTTATAAAAACTATTTTAACCTTTTTTTTTAATTTAGGTAAATTTTTAGAGAAATATTTATAATAAAAAATATAAAAAATGAATAAAATTTCTTTTATAAACTAAAAATAACTTATTTCTTCAAATTTTAAAGATCTTAAATGAGAAGCTTTCTACGAAAATAGATAAGTATAAGTTTAACTTATAAAACAAATATTATTTATTTTTATATTAATTTATTTTTTATAAAAATTTCTCTAAAAATTTATCTAAACTAAGTAAAAAAAAAACATTTTAACTTGATTTTTAAATGTACGGGGTTATTTATATCAACTTCTCTTTCACTCATCTTGAAAGCGTGTAACAAAAAATATGTTTAAGAACGTTTTTCTAACAAAGAAAATGAGATATTTATGAAAAAAAATATTAGTAATTAATTTTTTAAACACTTTTATGTTAAACAGTGTGTCGCTTCATTTATCTCTTTACAATAATTTTTTTTATTTTTTTAAACATATGCAATATTGTATAAGATAAAAAGTTATAAATATTAAATTTTTATTCAAAATTATAAAATTTAATGCAATTAAATGCATTAATACTATTCAATGCTATAATCTTTAATAAGAATATATTATATATAACTTCTTATTATTTACAATATTACACAATTAAAAATTAATTTTTCTTTATTTGGCTTTCCAATTCTCTTTTTGTGCAAAAGAATGAACACATTAATAAAAATATTATTAAAAATTTAAAATATTAACTATTACTTTGTAGACATTAGTAAAGGATAAACATAACTTTTTAATGCATCACAGTATAATTTCTAATAAGAAGCTATTATTTATTATTATTTTTAAGACACTGATTAACCTAATATAATTTCATTTTTGAGAACTTCAAATTAGGGAGTGTGACTTAATTTATAATATGTAAAATAAAATTACAAACTATTTACATTTATAACTATTTTATTTGCTCTGGTAAGTTTATGACTTACCACTTTTTCAAGAAATGTATCTTCCTAATAGAAGCAAAAGCCAATTCGTTAACTCATACCGTAAACCGGACGTATATACCTGTCCCGATCATAACTTGTGGAGCTCTTTCTGCAATCCAAAAATGAATGTGAATAAGAACCAATAATAAAATTAAAAATAAAGGAATATTATAATGGAATTGGAAAATATTTATTATAATGTAAAATAAAGTGCATTTTGTGCTTATTTTTAAGTAATTAAAAGTACTGAACTAGTTTGTTTAGAATACTCATTAACAGAATAATAATAATATAAACGCATTTCAATACAACACTTTATTAAGAATAATGTTACACTTTCAAAAAATTCTTATAATATTTCATAGCTTTATTTTCATTTATTTTTCTCTATCAAATCGCTCGTCTATTTTATAATTTTTTTTCTTTTTATCACAAATTGTAAAAAAAATTGTATGAGTAAAATTATCCTTCTATTAATCTACAAAATGGTATGACTTCCATCCGGGTGTCAAGCAGTGGCAAAATTGCAGGGCAAAGATAAAAAAACTAATGCTCACATGTCAAATGTTAAATATACCATACAAATTTGTGTAAAGGATACCCAGACAGTTGACAGGAACAAAGATACCGAGTCATACGTGGCTCGAGATTCGCACCCCCGCCACTTTATCCACTGTGGTCCCTCTAGAATTGAACTTTAAGCATTCAACATTCCAAAATTGTCCACAGCTTGTTAGGATTCCACACCTGGACATATATATAGACCTTGCCCAGATAAATTTCAGCTTAACTCATACCCTTTAAACAAAAGTGAAAAATTCATCAATCCAATCAATTTGCTATCTATTTTCTATTAAAAAAATTGTGTTTGCCTCCAGCAATGTTGAGTAATGTATCATATTTTTCAAATGCAGCAACCATAAAATCAAAACTCATGTAAAAAACCATGTGAAGTTGAGCCTCCGGGTTCACAAGTGCCAAAACACCACCAAAATAGCTGGCCAACTAATTTTATTTAGCTACACTTAAATCTTTTGAAGTTTCTTCACTTTCCCTATACCTTTTTTTATACCAGCCGCTTCAAATCTGCATCAAAAGATTCCTTTTTGCTCCCTCCTGCACTTGAAGCATGTTGAATCTTCTTTGGTTTTCTGATGCTGTAGTAAACAAGAGAGTAGAAAATCATTTTCTAACTACCTATTTGCTTCCTCAGGACTACTTTGACAACTTTGTCTTTTCTGTCTCCACGTCTCTCCCCACAGCTTGGCCTCAGCAACAGCTCGCTCTCTTTGTGAGTCTTTAGGCAAAATCACTGATGTCTCTTTTGAGGACTCGTCACTCTCTATCCCTCCTGTGTTAACTACGTTGGATACTTTTGGGGCATATTGCTTGGATGACAAGTACTCTATAGCTAGCACTATATCACCCGCATCAGGCCGGTGACGTGGCTCTTCTCGAAGACACATGGCTGCTAATTCAACGGCCATCCTTAGACCAGATCCTGGGAACTGACCTTTCAACCGTGGATCTGCCAATCTTGGAAAACTCCTTTTGTCCCTAAACACTGGGCGTGCCTATAGACATTATGAAACCACGCTTAGTTAACCTTGCAACTGGGAAAACCAACCTTAACTTGATAAGGTAGAAATAGCGTATATACCCCAGATCATAACTATATCTATCAAGCTATAACAACTTTCTTATGAATTATATGCATAGCCATATGAAACTATAATGTATTCTCAAATTTATGATTTCGCGACGAATGATCGGTTTATATTATCTTATCAAAATTAAGACTTTGGATAGCATTTAACCCAATCGCATATTAGGAAGAAATATCATGTAATATTCTGAAACAAGGGTTAGACCATGCGAACAGAAAGAGCAATGCAATTATATTCCCCGATATATTTAGAATAATGTATGTTATTCAACTAAGATAAAAACGAGTAACGTGTACGTTGTTAATCATGGGCCAGAAAAGTAATTTACCCAGTCAACGAGATGCTTGTCTGGGCCACGAGTATCATCATATGCTCTACGTCCAGTAATTAACTCCAATAACACAACCCCGAAACTGTAAATGTCTGATCTCATTGTTAATTTTCCACTAGTGGCATATTCTGGGGCACAGTAACCTTGTGTTCCCATAACCCTAGTGGCAACATATGATTGGTCTCCAGTTGGACCAAATTTTGCAAGCCCAAAATCAGAAAGTTTTGGATGGAAATCTTCATCCAATAGTATGTTGGAAGATTTTAGATCCCTGTATATAACAGAAGGCTTTGCTTCATGGTGCAAATAGTTTAGTCCATTTGCTGCTCCACCAGCTATCATCATTCTGGTATTCCAATCAAGAGGTTCTTTATCAGATGAAATATCTGCAAATAATCATAAACATATTGAGGCACAATGAAAAGTAACTTCTTGAAATATATCATGCAAATGAACAATAGAGTGCACATTAATAAGTGACCAAGTGAAACCTCTGTTTATGATTAATGAAAATAAAACAGTGAAATAATCAAATAGGGTGTGATCGTTAGTGTTCCTTCAGTCCCTTTATATTTAACAATTTAAGTTTTTCTTTCTTTGATGAGAATAGGTGAAAGAAAAGCAAAATAGTAAAAAATAATGAACCGCTAAAATTGTATGTAATTGTATCGATGATAGGGAATCACACTGGTATGTCATGTATTGCATGATTCAAAGTAATTTGCAATTCATCACATGATAAAAATCATTGGCTTGCCGCATCATTTCGAATCACGTAATTTGAATAATGAGTTGTGCGATTCTAGCAACTAAGGTTGCAACTACTTTGTAACAAAGAAGCGTGCCAAGCATACACGAGTCACAGGAGTTATAAAGCATTAACATCCGATACGAAACATGGCATTAATGACCTAATTAGCAGAACCTCTCTTCATCCCAATTAATCATGGATAGTTAGATGGAGTGTAATGAGTAACTGATGGCAATTTTGTGTTGAAGACAGTAAACGTTACGTTATATTATATACCATGGAGATGAGATTCTAAGGATCCCAAAGGCATGTATTCATACACAAGAAGACGTTGATCCCCTTCAGCACAGTAACCAATCATGTTAACAAGGTTGGCATGGCGTAGAAGAGAAAGCATGAGAACTTCCACCAGAAATTCTTTCTCCCCTTGGACACCAGTAGTATCAAGTCTTTTAACAGCTACAACCTGATCAAACAATGCAACATACTGATGAGCATTGTTAACAAGAAACAGGTACAAAAAAACAAATCCATCCATCAAAATGTACCTGATTTGTTTTCTCTAACTTTCCTTTGTAAACAGTGCCAAACCCACCTTGCCCAATAAAGGTTTCATCCCTAAAATTTTTTGTTGCCGTTGCAAGCTCTCGGAAGGTAAATATGTGAGCCTTATTAGAGGGAATACTCTCTTCTGTTTGATTTTCTTCTGGTCTAACTCCTGTATCAAGTCATGTCATGTTAACTTGAGAATACAAGTTAAGTTTAGGGCTTTTCAGACTTGTGATCACCTCCATGACACAAACCATAAGACAGGGTTATAAAAGTTTCAGCAAAAAGAAATAACAATTGAATGACATTTGCCTTTAAACTAATATTTTTAGATAATAGAGCTATTCGTAAAAGAAAAGGAGAGAACAAAAAATAGGAGACACCCTTCTAAAGCAAGCAAGAAATGAAGAAAGATATTCAGCATTTGAGAGAACATTAGCTCATAAGAGCTTCCTATCCCTCAGTATATATGGTTTGGGAATCTTAGTCTATATTTATACTTTATGTGCTCTAAGTTGATTGTACAACCTTCGTATTTCCTATTATCTCAAGCATTATGATGTCCAACAATCTTTTCTGAGTAGCCAAGAGAACAGAAAAATAAAAAAATTGGTTCTATTAGTCCAAAGCCAAAAGTTCAGCGAGCAGGCATCAGGGATTATGTGTATGCTTCACTTAAGATTAATTCTCAACTAGGGTGTCCATCCCTTTCATTTCATCGTAATTTACTTTTTCTAGTAGCATACTGTTACTGGATTAAAATTGTGTGGAATGAAGAAACTGTTTTACAATTTTACTAATAGGAAAGTCAAAGCAATTGATTTACTTTATAAGTATATATGACAGTTTCGAAAGACCCTTGGGTCCAGTATGATAGTGGAAGATGAGCAGGTAAATTCAACATCAATAATAAAAGCTACAAAAGCCCTTTCCCACTTAGTGGAGTTATTTACATGAGCAGGAAAATTCAGCAACCAAAAGAGAAAGGTAATGTTGAAACTGCTGTGAGCATAAAAATGATTTACACCACTACACTACTGCAACCATAGTCTATGCATATTACTTCTTCACTGCAAAGGTAACTTTGTGTCATATGAAGGAAGATAACTGCTATTCTAAATCTATATAAGATGTTGAAATGATTATGTGCAATTTGTACTAACTGTGTATACATTGTGTCCACGTATCTTGATGATGAATTTTAAAAGCAAAATATCAACTTCATTTAAAAGTGAAAATCTCTAAATAATTGGTATTAAGTAGACACACACAGAAAAGATATAACATTTTGCTTTTAAATTGGAAATTTCTTGCAAATTTTTTTTACATCTGGAATGTAGTCTGTGGTTTAAAGCTATACTAGAGCGATTTAACAGAGATTCCCTTCAGTTTATAACAAGTGCACCACATATGATTGTAAAAAATGCAATTAGAGTAAGGCTATGATAATCAATACAGGGAATTTGAGAGTTGAAACAAATAGTATCCTCCAATGAAATAAATAGTGAGTTTCAATGGGAAGCAGGGAACACTTAAGCTCTACAGATGACAAATAGTATCACCAAAAGTTGATAGAAAGCATATACTCACACTTAACAACTGTCTTCCTTCGTAAAGAAGGAAGGAAATTCTGATTATGAGAACAAGCAAAAATGTGATCAATCACCACAAAAGGTACATCTGTAACCAGTTCCTATGACATTAGAGCCATTGAAAAAATCAATGAATTTCACACGGCAGAGCATTACTTCGGCTATGTAGTGATTTTCCAAGGTTTACTTAAATGCAAGGGAGATGAGGTCTTTTCCTAGTGGTTTTTATAGCCTACAGCTACAGTAGTACTAAATTGATTTCAGATGAAGCATTACATTTCAAATTGATTTCAGCGTAACATTTTTATCAGTTTAACGATTGCTACCTCAACGATTTCTCTTAGAATTAAACGTTTATGCTTGCACTTCAAATAAGAAATAACCTGAAGATAACAATAACCAAGACCTTTTCTTTCTCTCTAAGCACCTTGTCAGAATTATAAGCAAGAATCAGTAGAAATTTCATCTAACAAAAACTTCTAAAAAAATCTAAAGCTTTGTCTTAAAAAATGATTAAAAATGGTGGTGAAGCACAAAAGCTGAGATTGAAGGATAACATGACACAGTGAATTCCTTAAAACCTAAGCCCATTAAAAAATAATAATAAATCTTGCAAATTACTATTTAAACAAGATTAAACCTTTATAAAAAGAAAACTAAATGACCACTAATAAAGTGTAAGAAGGTAACCTGAAGATTTTTGAGGGACATTCTCTTCAGGTTCATCATTCTTCGCAACCTTGTTTTCTTCCTCCTGAGTCTTGAGGTTCTTCCCTTTGCCCTTCCTCCTCAACCCAAAACAAGGGCATCGACCCATCACCCCTACAAGAATTCAAAGCCAAAACAAACGTTTATGGTGCTGTTATGCAGAAACAGTGCGAGCCTTTCAATTGCCAGAAGAATATGTCGTTTTGAAAGAAAGACAACGATACGTACACACACAGATCTCAACAGAATCTCTCACACATTCAACGCCACCTCGGTGTGTAGGTGTCGTTTGCCGCTATGACATTCAAAAATTGATGCAAGTTTTGGCCGAAAAAGAGAAGAATTTGCAGGCAATAATAATGTGATTCGTATAAATGGCAAATTCCCCGGTTTCGATTTTGTTTCCAATAATGTTTTCCTCTTTCCTTATGGAGGAAAACCACTGCTCTTATATGGCACAGTTTCTACGATGACGTGCATGTCCATTTGCTTTCTGTCCATTTGCTTTCTCTTATAACGTACTTTCTCTACAAATCTGTCCTGTTATGCAACATTTGTCTCCGATTTGGATTTGGTGCTGTTCAAAATGGTCCAGTCATGGTGCAGTGAAGGAAATCTACACCGTCCACACTATATCCAATGGCTCTCTTTTGTAATTACGACATCTGCAAAAATTAATAAAACTAGATTTTGCATAGTTTATAATATATATATATATATATATATATATATTAATTGTTTATAGTGTATTATTTATAATTTTTCATATCTGTATTTATGTTAGGTATATTTAATAAAAATATTAAAATTTATTTGAGGAAATAAATATTAAAATATTTATTCAATGTTAAATTTTTGCTTTATATTAATTTAATAATTAATAGAAGTTTATATTTGGAAATATATATTATCCGAATATTATTTTTAAATGAAAATAATATATTTAAATGGTATAATTATATATGAATAATTAATATTAAAACTATATTATAATTATTTATTATTTAATCAATTTTTATAAAATGTGAAATTTATCATGAAATATTTAATATTATCTTTATGATTAAATATTAATATAAATAATATACAATTATAATCTAATAATTAAATTATTATATTTTATATTAAATTTTTAATAGTATAAAATATATAATTTATATATGTGTAATTTGATAATTTTTTTGACGGATATTAATGTATCAAGGCTTTCATAGTATCCAAAAACTATTTATTTGACAATATGTATCGTTCGTTGGCGGTGGTGGCACATGCAGCATTGGAAACTTTGTATGTTTTAATTACTATTTAAGTTTTATTATTTCTATAAAATAGTCATTTAACATTAAGATACAGTAATTAAAAAATATATTTTATTATAAATATTATAAAAATTTATTATATATTTTATATAATTTTATAGTAAATTTTTTTAGAATTATTTATAAAATTATATAAAAAAGATAAAAAATAAATTTTGAAATAGTATTTATTTCTAAAATAAAATTAAAAAAAATAATTCTACATTGAAATTGTAAGATAACTGTTATTTAGAGAAAGAGAAAATTTGATAAAAAAATAAATTTTCAAAGAGAAAGAAAGTAATTAATATTAATGTATATTTTTAAAAATGTTATTTTTTTATAAATATTTATTATTATATATATAATTTATAATAATCAATCTATTATTTGTAATACTCTTATTCTAAATTTCATGTAATAAAAATAATTTTTCATTAGAAATTATAAATTTCATTTATCTTTTATAAAAAGTTAGATTATTTTTAAATACTATTTTTCATGATTTTTTAATTAATGATAATAAATTAATTTTTAATATTAATTATTTTTTAAAATTTTTCTATATATTGTAATATTATATATATATATATATATAATAGTCTTACTTTTTGACATTTTTTAATACAATATTATAATATTATTTAAATTATATTTTTATTTATGTATACATTATAATTAGTCTAATTTTATTAATTTATTATATTCAAGTATTTTTATAATAATGTAAAATTCTCAACTTTTATACATTTTGATTTTTATAATATATTTTAATATTTTATATTTATAAATTGTGTTATTTAATTACTGAATTATATGTATATTTATTTTAAAATAAAATATTTGTGTATTTTATATTACTATTAAAGTGGCTATTATAATAGTTAGTTTACAAAAAAAAATATTCACAAAAAATTATGTAATCATAAAAAAATAATTAACTCTTTCTTAATATTTTAAAGTATTAAATATCTTGAGATAAATAAAAAGTATTTCAGTACAATATCATTTAATATATTGTGTCTAATTAAAATTTATTAGAATGAAAAATATCATTTATCAATGTATAAACATAATATTTTAAAATAATATTAAAAAAATATATTATTAAGTTTAAACACGTATTAACAATCATGTATTGATTTTTAAATTAAATATTTAATAAAAAAATTTCTTGTTATTTTGTGTCATAAAAAAAATTGTATAAAAATTAAACTAATTACTCAAATACATACGTACGTGCTTATAAAAATTAAATTAATTATTTAAATGTTTAGTTTTTATCTTATTAATTTAATAATATTTTTGGTTTATTTAGTGATAATATGTGCATGTGTGTGCTAAAATTAAATTAAATATTTAAATTTTGATCTTAATTAAATTAAATTACAACTGTTGGATGGAGTAGACGGTGTAGATTTGTGTGAATGCCGAAGTTGTACAACAACTAATTACAAATTCATATTGGATGTCCGTGAAAGACCCTATTAGAGTTTGGAACGCAGTGAACCCTTACCCCTTACGAGGAGAGTTGGATGAAATAGGAAGCATGGGATTGACGAATTTTGTGCTGACGGTGGCGGGTGTGAGTGCAGTTGTTCTTCTTCTGAGGAGTGACGTGAAGCAATCTGCATCTATCTTCAGGCGCAATGTCAAACACATTCGCCACTGGCTGGAAGAAGAAACTGCAACTTCCTCCAAGTAAGTCCCCTTTTCTATTTACTTCAATTTGTGCATCAATTGGTTGAATATGACAGAAGACATTAATCCAGCAATATTTTGTTGCATAGATTATTAAACGTATGATTGTTCTGCTGTTGGTCTTTATGGTCATTGGAGGTTTTGCAAATACTATGAATCATTCAAGTGCCTCACTGGGCAACCAGGCTATGCTAATTTATTTATTTATTTATTTTGGGGAAGGGGTTGTAAATTAATCAAGTCTAGCCAAACACTTCAAATTTAAGATTAGACTCCAACAGTAAGTGAATGATTCAGCTCATATGCGCACTTAACTAATTGTGTAAAGTTTTGTCGGTGGGAATTAACTAGCTTCATAACACTCTGCTAGACTATCAACCCTGACCCATTTTCAGATTATGCTGTAACCTATTCCTCATTTAATGAATTTGTTGAGAGAATAATTATCATATTGGAAAATTAATTTCTTTCTTTCTGAACAACTACTGCTTTTATTTCTTTTTAATTTTCTTTTCAATTGTTTTAGTGTTTCATGTTTTTGAATCAATGTCTACCCATCTAAAATGTGGAATTTGATGAAAGTTCAACCTTGTAAATATTATTGAAAACGAAGAGAGTTGGTAGAAAATAGAAAAGTACAAATCAAAGAGAAAATTATCATTTTTCTAAATATATCAGTCCATTGTAAGGGAAATTAAGATATTCAACCTACATATTATATAGGTCAGGAGACAATTATGTGATACAAACTGGATCAGAAAGTGGAAAAAGAAAAGAAAAGAATGATAGGAATCTTTATTAAGAGAAAATAATTGAACAATATACCCAGGTTTGTTGAGAGATCTGGTAGCCTCCCTCTCACAACAACTTTACCCAAATCAGATCCTCCTTCTAACTCCTTTCTATTTTATAACCTCTCTTTTTGTTTGCAAATTGAGCTGAGTCCTCAATTAGTGTAGTTTCTGTTATTTAGTTACAAGTCACAGGGTTGTGATCCCCTATTGCCCCTTTTTTCTTTCAACTGTAGACCTTTTTAAATTGGTGGTCACCTAACAATTCCCCCTAAAAGGAGCCACCTTGTCCTCATTGTGAAATCATGGAAAATTATCTTGAATATTGGCAGCTGTTTCCCAACTCTTGTCACAATCTGGTAAGTATGCAATTAATGAGCACCTCTACATCTCCAAGGAGGCCTTTTCAACTGCTGATCACAGCTTTTGGTTGCAGCTGCAATTCCAAATATGCATTGAGCACCAAGGGAAGTGAGTGAGGAGAGTGGGGAGGTCTTATTGCTCTATTCTATTTAATAAGGAGACATGAAAAACAGGACAAATCTTGCTTCCTTTAGGCAATTCATGCCTGTAAGCCACAGATCTTACCCTTCTCATTACCTGAAAACAGCCATTAAAACAAGGCCTTAACTTTTCATTAAGTTTCTTGGCCAATGACCTTTATCTTGTCAGGCTGCTACAAGGTACACCCAGTCTCCAATCTGAAACCCCAAGTCTTGTCTATGTTTGTTTGCAGAAGGCCTCATATAGTTTTGTGCCTCTAGTCGGTTCAACCTTAAGTCAGTGAGCTATTCATCTTATTGTTGTGACATCCGATTCACCTGCCCAACCTCAGAAGGGATAGTTTTGCCCTTAAAATAGTGGTGGGATCACTTCCATATAGAGTTTTAAAGGGTGTAGCTGTAGTTGGTATTGAACAAGAATTCAGTGCTTTATGTTGAATTCTCTAGTTCATGAAACTTTTCCTGCTTTATTTTGAAAGGAAGCAAAACAACTGCAGTTGGTTGGATCAATCCAATTTTTCAAATAAAACTTGCTTAGTACCTCATTTTAGATTTATTGAGTTGGTTGTTAAAGTAGTAGTATTAAGAGTATTTTTTTTTTTGATTCATTGGTTGTTAAATGTATGCTTTGAATATTTTCAGATCATAATTTGATGACTTTTGGTTTGATTGCTAGTTCTCTTTTATAAGAGTATGCATGCAATGCTGCATTTTGAATGTCTTACATTTTTGTACTTAGTTATTTATATGTTCAGATACTTCCTTTCGTTTTTCTTTTACATCATAACCCAATGCTATTTTTATTTTTTAAAAATATAAAGCAAGTCAGGAGAGCTGAGGGATATCAAGCTTTGTGATTGCTTTTGTGGCAACTATTTATGATCAACTTGTTAAACCAAGAAAAAGGTGTTTTAGTTCTAAAATTTTATTTAGACATTTTTTGGGGGTAGTTCTAAATAATTATAATGTTTAATGGGAACAAATGGAACAAGATGTGCATGAGGATTAGGTTTTATTGCCTTTTTCTGGTTTAACGCCAATCTGTTGAAAAAATGTTGTTGTTATAAATATAGAACAGCTGTTGTAGTTATCCCACTTCTTTTATTACTTAGGCAATGTGATAGCAAACCATTAATAAAGCAAGTGTATGTTAAAAGGATTAAAAGAGGGGTAGGGGTAAATTAGTTGGAGGCGGTTAGTAAGAAATTATATATAAAAGGAAATATGATAGGATAGAAGGTAGGGAGGAACAGGATCACTGTAAGATTGGGGAGAGTCCAGGGTCACTCAAATACCCTGTGAACCATGTAGCATTTCCTTTTGTTTCTTGGTCACCTTGATTAGGGGCATTCATATGAATAAAATACATTTAAATGTTTCGTTTTTCATCTATATCGAACCAGTTCTAACACAATGTCTTGATGTTTTAGAGAGTAGGGGATGAGGAAGGATAAAATCAAAAGGGACTGGCTTGAATAGAAAAGAGTTGCCTTTCCAATGTGATGATTAACAAGTGAATAAAGATGAAGGAACAAAGGATTGTGTAAAATTTCATTATGAGTTGCTTGCATAAAATTTTAAAATTAAAATTATTTTAGGGGTAAATGGTAAATTGCATTTTTTTCAATAAAAATTATAGCTATCCCTACTCATTAGTCCACAATTACTATAGTATCAAAAGCTGCAATTGAGGAAGATTGGTTCCCCCAAATTCCTTGGCATTAGAGAATGAATTTTTAGATTCCTAGTGGGAGTGTGGAACTAACCATGAATTTTGTGCCTGAAATGGGACTCTTGATAATACTGCAAAATGTGAAATGCCTATATCTTGATTACGGTTTTTAAATGAATCATTTGATTATGATTACAACGAATGTATACTCTTTTGTTCCACTCCTTCCCTCAAACAGTCTTTATGTAAGTGATGGCTTATTACGTAGATTATTCACAGATTGTAACATGATTTTGTGCCGTCTTTTCAGGGCAATGGAGAAGCCCACTCCTAAAGAACTGGAATCAAAGGTTCCTCCAAAAGATATTCCTAAGGAGGACAAGCATTAATGTTTATGCAGGTGATGGAGATGTTTAGTGCTGTGATTTTGTTGTTTCTTTGTGCTCTTCTTACCGTCTTTGAATGGAATCATATTTTTGTTTTTGACTAAAATGAATCCTCTATCCATGTCTGTTCATATAACTCAGACCAATATTCATAAATATATTTAGCAATAATACGACAGTTATTGTTATTCCACATTCACAATTTTTAGCACATTTGCATGATTTGACTGCCGAGAACTATCTGGCTGTAAACTTTCTTAGACTTAAAAATGCTATCTTTTGGTGTGCAATATTTTTTTGGTTACTGCTGTGAAGTGATTTATATTCGACCTGAAAGTTTACATTGATTAAGGAAAACCCTTTTTCTCAGGCATATAAAAATTAGTAGATGGAGATGAGCATGTCTAAAGTTGACAATTTGCTTGTGATGAATTGTAAATTTGACTTATTATGTAATGGGTTTATGGCTTATGGCTATTATCGCCTTTATGGGTTAGGACACGTATTAGGATTTACGCAAGAACGGACCTATGGACAATAATTTATCCTTAGGTCCGTTCAACCTGTGACGTGTTGAAGATTTTTAAATTCGAATTGTTTTGCACAATAATTTATCATTATAAACGGTTATTTGTTGCTCGTGTGTTTTATATTATTGCATGAATAAAAAGTTATAGTAGATTATTTATTTATTTTCAGAAATAAACACATACTAAATTTTACAATAAAAAATTTTTTAAGGTAATTTTTTTTAAAATACACATGAAAAAATTCACATACTTTTTTATATATGTGAAGGATAAGTAACTGCTGTACACATTATCTAATTTTTAGACGCACATACAAACAAATATAATAATCAATTTAACGTTATAATTCATTTATACAAACAAATTTTTATTTTCTATTAGCTGTGAAGCACAAACACATTTCTTGTTTGAAGTATTAAGGGGTCAAGAAACATTTCTCACATTGACACTTTCCATACACTTATTCAACACATGTCACACACTCCTCAATATGTGACTATTTAAAAAGAGTAGACCACTAAATTAATCTCTCAAATAGTAACAATTATACATATTAGTTTTTATTTATTTAAATTATTCTCTTAATCTTTCATATATTAGTTTATCATGTATTTAAATTCTTGTTGTTAATAGATGTCTGAAAAATGTTAACTTTTGTTAAATAATCGTGGAAACTAAAATAATGTCATTTTGCACTTCCTCTCTATTCTCTCTTTTCCCTCTTTTCATATCCATGGTATTCATAGTGGTCTGGTTTGCTGTCAGCTCTTTCTCTTTCCCTCTCCTTGGAACCACAGTGGTCATGATAATTTGCACCTCCAAAGTCCTTACTACATCTCTCACTTTTTCCCTCTTGTTGAACCCACATCTCTATAACTCAACAACCAGCTCCTTGTAAACAACAAACTCCAATACCATTACATATTTTGGATATGCAAAAGCGTTGTCACCATTGTTGGAGTTTGGAAGTTATATGTTTACATTAAAGGCATTATTGGTTATTCTTTCAAGCTCCAACACCACTGTTATTTGAAGGTTTTCTATGTATGTGTGTGTTTGAGAGAGGGAGGAAGCCATGAGGGGTGGCTAGAAAGTTGTGGTTGGGAGGGAGAGACATCGAAGATGAGTTCAACAACAATGCAAAATCGATTAAATTAGTTCTTAAGATTATGTCAAACAACAACATTTTAGCTTCTACTGTCATTTGAGAAACTAATTTGAGAGTTTACTTAATTAAAAATTATTCTTTTTCAGCACAGACACATGAGCTAACACTTCAATATAAATGAAGATACACAACTATCATTAAAAAAATTATTTTATAATTTTTAAATAATTTAGCTTAAATTTCAATGTAAAAATATTTAAAAAAATAATTTTTTATAATTTTTTAAAATCTCATTATTATAAAAAAATAAAATTAGAATATTTATTAAAGAAGGTAAATACGATATAATTTTATTTTGTTTTGAGATCTTTTTGTAAAAAGACTAAATATTAACTTTGTAAAATAATATCCCTCTTAATAGATTTTTGAAATTATATATATATATATATATATATATATATATATATATATATATATATATATATATATATATATAGACACATGAGAAAGATCAAATCACATCGGTGTAAATTATATCTACTCTTACATAGTTAATAATTTGATATATAAAGTAATTTTTATTGATGCAACCTTTGACTTGTAATTATGTATTACTTGAATTTTGAACCAAAATTTGTCAAAATCGAATATCTATAAGATTGATATGAGAGAGTCTTTATTTCCATAAATTTTAATAATCTTAATATCAAATTTTGTAATATGATTAGAACTTTTAATTTAATAGTTGATTTTATGATTAAACTATCTAATAAAAATTATTAAATGGTGTAACATTGGTGTGATTTAATCACACAAATATATATATATATATATATATATATATATATATATATATATACACACGATACAGTGATATTCTATATTGTAGATCTTAATTATGTCATAGCTTCATAGTTATTGAAAAGTCTAGTGAAAATCTTTGATAAATTGATCCTATAAATTTTTAATTTTTTTTTTCAACATAACTTGAGTTTGCTAATCAAATAAAAATCTTTTTGCCCATCGTTTATAAATAGCAACCTAAATAATTTAAAAATTAATATTGACTAAATTTTAAAATATTATTTTTATGAAGCTGGTTGACTTAAATAAGACGCATAATATTATATTTTTTTGTTTAGAGGTTTAGAAAGAGTCTTACTTTAAGTCATCAATAATTTTCATTTTGAATTGAGTTATACTAATTTATTACAAATATAAAAATCAACCAAAATTATATTTCTTTGTGATATTGTGATACATATATTTTTTCTCTCATATACACAATCATATACACTAACCACTCAAGTCACCAACTAATATTCCTATTCTTTGTCAAGTTCAACATACTCGTTAAACTTTTACAAACATTAATATCATAGAATATCATCAATTTTCAACCTTGTATGAACAACTTAGTAATCTATAGCTAAATTTCATGTTCATAGCCCAACTTTATTTCAATTGCAATGTACTAGAGAAATCAAAATGAAACATAATAATCACTCTACTTATACTTATCTCCCTTTTGTTGTTAGTTCATGTGAATCTTAAGCTCAAATAGTCCATTAGAATAGAACCCCTAAATTTCATTTCTTCTACTTGTTTATCGTTCCCTTCCCTCATGTATTGGACCTTATTTTGTTATAGGCCCCACCCCCCACTATGCCTTGCCCCTACCCCATGCTATTGCAACTTGCTTTTGCACTTACGCTCCTGTGTCGTGCCTTAAAGCATCCACGTGTCATTGCATTGAGGATTAGGAGTGAATGTGAAGATATGATAATAACTATTGGACATGAAAAATAAGGGATAGAAACTTTTTTTGGTCAATGGGTAAAAACATTTTAAATGTGCAGAGGCTAAAGAGCAAACGTTAGAACTTTAAGAGTCCAAACCACCAAGCACTAGATGAGTCATGTGTGTGGGCATAAAAGACTATTCCAACCCAAGACATATTAGAGATATATACATATAAATATTCAGTCATTCAACTAGATATTAGTCTGTTTTCTCTATAATAGTTTGTTATATTTTCTATTATTATTGTTAGAAGTTAGTTAGTTTCCATTTTGTTCTAACTAATTGTAGTAGTTAGTTTCTATTGTATCTACTTTCCTGAACCTATATAAGTTCTGTTGCCTCCCTTTCTCATTTGGTGAAAACAAGAATTCTTAGCCCACTTTCTTATTAAACATTTCTCTCGGCTTTTCTTTCTTCTCTAAAATTCTAATATGGTATCAGAGCCTTGAGTAAGAAGGTTGAGAGAATAAAAGAGCAAAATAAGGAGCTTGAACCTAAGTTGAAATCTATAAAGGAGAATGAAAAGACGATCAAAATCAAAGAGAAAGAATTAGAGAAGGAAAAACAACAATTGCTTACTAATCGAGAGAGCTTGAAGAATTTAAATGCTAAACTTGGTAAGATAAAATATGAGATTTCTCAACAGTAACTACAAATATACCAAGAGAGTGAGAATTTAAAGCTTACTAAAGATGAGAGGTTAAAGCATTCTCGTTTGCAGTTGGAGCTAAAACAAGAGATAAAATATACCATATTGCAGAAGGACTTTCTTATAAAGGAATCTAAAAACTTGAGGGAAGAAAGACAGAGGTTTGAGAAAGAGTGGGAAGTACTAGATGAGAAAAGAGTGGAAATTAATAAAAAGCAGCATGGTATTTATGTGAAGAAAGAAAATTTAAGAAAACTTCATAACAGTGAAGAAAAAAGGCTGAAAAGAGAGAAACAACTTATGCAAGACCTATAGAAAGAAAGAGTTGGAGAAGCTTGAATTGGAGAAGAAATCATTTAGAGATTCAATGAAGCAAGAGAAATTTATCGTCTGAAATGGTGAAAAATTAAAAGGCAAAAATGGTTCATGATTTTGAATCAAAGACAAGAAATCTTGAGAATGAAATCCAAAAAAGATAGGAAGAAATGGAGAAAGACTTCAGGAGGAATAGGAGAGTAAATTTTAGGAGGAGATGCAAAGAGAACTTAATACTATTAATGTCTTGAAGGATGTTACTGAGAAGGAATAGAAAGAAGTAAAGTCTGAGAGGAATAGGTTAGAAAATGAGAGTAAGGAACTTGAATCAAATAAGCAGCAACTGCAATCAAGCCAACGTGAGATGCATGGAGATTCTGAAATGCTTATGAATCTCAACTGGAAGGTTAAGAGGGAGCGTGAACGCCTTGTGGCTGAAAGAAGCCTCTTTCTTGAAGATATTGAGAAGTTAAAGAGTTGCACAAGTTATGGTATTGTTGTTAGAGACTTTGTTGTATTTGATATTCAATTACCTGATTGTAAGGAAAGAGGATCTATTCCCTCATATACTTTTCTTATTCTAAATGACAGGCTTTTTAAGAACTCCAATGACAATATAGGGGCTTCTGAATTGAACAGTTTTGGATCTATAAAGTCCATGTCTTGGCTCTGTAAATGCACATCCACGATTTTCAATTTGTCCCCAAGTAAAAGAACTGATGCTATTAATGCTTCAAAAATGGCTGGGGCGTCAACGTTGTTAGATGT